GTGGCTGGACTTGGGGTCATTGTTCCCCTCTCGCACTTGGCTTCCAGGCAGCCTTCCCTGGCAGGTCACCAGCTTACAGCCAGCTAATTGGAGGGAGGCAGCGGCCCCTCCCAACTTCAGCCAGATGAGGTGGATTCCTCCGTTCCTCCGTACTGGTGCTGGGGGAGGTGTTTCTCTCCTAGCTGAAAGGGCGTCCCATCCCCCACCCCCATCCATGATGTGTGGCCTCTGACTGGCCTTTCCTTTGACTGCTCAGGACTGTCCTCAGATGTCTCTCCCACTGAGTCTTAGGAAACAAACAGAATTTTTGTTTTCAGTGAATCAGATGAACGCCCTCCTCCCCCCCTAAAAAAGACATAAGCCTGGTATGATAGTGTGGGCAACAACACAGATGCCAGAATTGCAGGCCTGGGCTCAAGAGTGGCAGGGCACACGTTATCTGTGTGGCCTTCATCGCATCTTTTAACCTCTCTGAGCTTGTTTTTCTCCTCTGAGAAAGGAGTGGACTTTAGCTGCCTCGTTGTCGCTGGTACTAAATGAGCTCTTCCGCAGTCCTGGAACTGGATCTCGTGCGGCCTTAAGTGCTGTCCGCTGATGGCGTAATATACAAAGACAGCAAGATCTGTGGTGAACAGGGCTGAATGGTCGGAGCCTGAGATGAATCAGGAGGAAGAAATCCATTGTAGTAGATGGAAAGCTAATGCAGGGTAGATGGAATGTGCTAGAATAAAACTTCAGAGCTACTCAATGATTAATCCAGAGGGTGGGAGTTTGGATCCCACCACGTACATCAGACCCTTCACCTGTAACTCCAGCTTCAGTGGATACAACCCCCTCTTCTGACTTCCACAGGCACCAGCACCCACATGACACACCCCACCACCACCCTAGACACACACACACACATACATAATTTTAAAAATAGAATATATCTTTTTTAAAAAAGTTTGCTCAAGTCTGGGGATGTAGCTCAGTTAACAGTTCCAGCCTGGCACACACAAAGCCCTGGGTGCAGTTCCCAGTGCTGTAGAACTGGACGTGGTATTATAAACCTGCAATTCGAACACCCGCGGAGGTGGAGGCAGGAGAGTCAGAAGTTCAAGGTTGTCCTGGTCTGGTTTCCCAGAGCTGGAACAAAGAGAGCCTTCTTCCATCAAAGTCGTGACAAAGGCCAGGCCATCCTGGGCTTTAGAGGCAGCCTCAAGGATATGGTCGTTAGCAAGAGCAGCTAGAGCAAAGGCAAAAATAAATTAGTGCTGGGAGATGGCTGGGAGGACCTGAGTCAGACTCCCGACACCCACAGGCAGCTCAGAGCTACTGGAATGTCAGTTCCAGGGAATCCGATGCCCTCTTACAGCCTCTGTAAGCACCCAACATCCACAGCTTACACACACATACACATAAAATTAAAAAAAAAAAAAAAAGCTTAGCCAGGAGGTGGTGGCACACACCTTTAATCCCAGCACTCGGGAAGCAGAGGCAGGTGGATCGCTATGAGTTTGAGGCCAGCCTGGTCTACAGAGTAAGTTCCAGGACTGACTCCATAGCTACTGGGAAACACTGTCTCAAAAAAAACCTAAATAAATAAATAAATAAAATCTTTAAGAGCTGTCAGTAAAGGTGTGTCTGGATCAGATTTGCATTTTATTTATTTTTATTATTATTGTGTGTGTGCGTGATATGTGTGTGGACAAGTGTGCCACAGCAAGTATATGAAAGTCAGAGGGCAATCTTATGGAGCCATTTCTCTCCTTCCACCTTCCAGGGGGGGGGGGGGGGGGGGGGACATGTGGGTTTCTAGGGTGGTGTAGCAAGTGTTTTTACCCGCTGAGCCATCCAGCTGGTCCAAGATTGGCATTTTTAATTTTTTTTGAAGCATCAGTCTGGCTATATAGCCACTTGGTTATATAGGGTAAGGGGTGAAGATGAAGCACACGCCTGTTAGATTTAACAGATTTCCTACGAAGACACAAATCACAGACTTACAACAAGTCATGGATTTAATTAGTAATAAATTTCCAGCATTCCGTGAACCACTATTTAAAAACCTAAAAAGAAGAACAAGGTGCCGCAGATTCAAAGATGGGAGGACATTGGTATCTGATGATATTCCCAGGTGATCTATAGACTCAACATTCTTCTATCTGAATCTCGGTTACTCTCTTCATAGAAATAAGCAGACGTATCCTAGAATTCATATGGAATTCCAACAAATTCAGGATAGTAAAAACAAAAAGAAGAATCAAAATTGGAAGGCTCACAAGTTCAGATTTCAAAACTTACTGTAAAGCAACAAAAACCAAGCCAGTGCGGTACAAATACAATGACAGGCAGGGTACAAAGCTCAGAGAGCCCAGGGGCCTTGCAGCACAAGGCTGAGAACCTGAGTTCCATACTCAGCACCCACATAGAAGTCCAGGTGTAGCAGTATACACCACAACCTCACTGCTGGAGAGGCAGAGACAGGATGGTCCCTGGGGCCTGATGACTAGCCTTGTGGGTGAGCGCTAGGGACAGTTAGAGAGTCGTCTCCAAAAATGAAGGTAGAGAGGACCAGTTAGATGGCTCCATGGGTAAAGGCACTTGCCACCAAAGCCTGGCCACTTGAGATCAATTCCTGGGTCTCACATGGCGAAGAGAAAGGACTCCTAAAAGTCATCCTCTGACCTCCGGACCTGCACCGTGGCACGTGTGCATGCCTGTGTATGCAAACAAACATAGATAATTGACTGTAATTACAAAAAGAATTAGAGAGTGACGTCAACGAGATCAGTGAAAGCAGGTGTGAAACCAAGTGTGCAGAGGCTATGTGGTCGGAAGGAGCCAGAAGAAGCACTTGTGGAGCAGAGTGGGCGGGGGCTGGCCACGAGAGTAGGAGCAGAGGGAGGAGTCTGGGACTGGATCCACGTCCACCACTAAAGGAATGAAAACAGATTAATGGTTACGTGTTTCCGCGTCGGGTACCATGCCAAGCACTCTGCGCACATTAAGTCTTCCGGTCTTCAACATGCTCACCCAGGGATATTTCCATCACCCTTACTGTGTAGAAGAGAAGGGTCTGAGAGGATAAGCAACTTGACTTAAAACCTGACGGTGAGTGGCAAGGCTGCCATCCTGAAGTAGAGGCCCTGGCTCCCAGGGATCTCTCAGCTTCTTCTCTGGCGTAGCAGGAGAGAGCTGCTCTGGGCCCAGTGCATTTACAAATTCACCACTAAGCCTGCAGCACATCTTAGGGTGTCAAGAGGGCACCTTTCTCCCATAGGAGAGTCCTACATTGCCCCCAATGGACTCCAAGGACCACAGCCCCCACTGAGAAAGACCACAGTACACAGCCACAAATTCTGTCTCAACTGCCCCACCCACTCTCGCTTTGTGTCCCTCTACTTCACTCCTGGCCCTGATCTCACAGGATGTGGCCTGGGCAGGAGTTGGGACAAGAGATGGAGCCAGTCGTGCTACCTTGATTCCAGAGAAACAATGGAAAAAGCCAGAAGAAAAGCCTTATCAGACAGACCAAGACCCCTGGGAAAAGCGAGGCTGATGGGCACCTGGTCGAAGGGTCTCACCACAGTCCTGGCTGTAAAATACGGAAGTCAAACCAATTTGCTCTGAGTCATTCACTCCCTCTAGCCCTCAAGGAAGGGGACAATTTCCTGCAAGGCCTTCTGGGCGGGGCAGGCTCCTTCCTCAGGCCTGTGTATCTCTTATCTCACCCAGGCCTTCTTCCATTGGCAACCCGAAGCTTCTGTAGGGGGCCAGTCTCCTCTTTCTTTGGATTCCAGCCTTCGATTCAGAGGTGACAGAGCAGCCGCCTAAGTAGGGCAGCTCAGGAGCCAGAATGTCTCGCAGAGGACAGGAGGCAGCACAGACGACTGTCCGGGCTGCACCCCTCCAGCCGTCTCCCTTGGAGATGCTCCTGGGTACTTCTCCAGGTGCTAGCATCCCAGCCCTTCTGAGGGGGTTTTAGACTCAGGCTCCAACTTCAAGAAGCCCCCATGCACAGTACATGATTCTAGATGAATAAGGAGAGCACAGGAAAGTGCTACAAGGTGATCTTCGGCCAAGGAATCTGTGTAAGATTTTTTCTTAATGGCCTTTTGGGACTGAAAAGATGGCTCAGCAGTTAGGAGCACTTGCTGTGCTTCCAGAAGACCAGAATTCTGTTCCCAGCATCCCCGCCAGGCAGCTCGCAATCCCAGTTTGAAGGGATTCCATGCCTCGGGCCTGCTTGGGCGCCTGCATTCACATGCACACATCTATATGCAGACACACATGTCTACACATAATTTAAAATAACATTTTTTTTTTAAAATAGCCATTAGTCCGGACAGTGGTGGTACACACCTTTAATCCCAGCACTTGGGAGGCAGAGGCCGGGGGAACTCTGTGAGTCCAAGCCTAGCCTGATCTACAAGAGCTAGCTCCAGGACAGGCACAGAGAAACCCTGTCTCGAAAAAACAAAACAAAAGAAACAAACAAGCAAAAAGCCATGAGAGACAAACAGATCTCAATTCAAGTCTCAGTTGTCCCCTTTCACAATGACTCTGGGTGACTCCTTAACTCCTTCTGAACCCGGCTTCTCTTCTGGAAAGAGGACAGGGTGTCGCAATAGAGCTGTGATAC